AATAAATTAAATAATGTAAAATAATATTTTATTATTATTAAATAATAATATTTTATTATATTAAAAAAAAAAAAAAACAACACACCCCAACTTTTCCACCAAGTCGGTGGAAAAGCTGGGGTGAATTGAAGGCAAAGAAGAATGTTGACGCGGTTAATTAAAGAGGGAGGAGGAAAATGGGGAAGGATAATAAATGAGAGAAGAAAATTTGGGGTGGACGGTTGAAATGAGAATGATAAATAGAGGAGGGAGTGTTACGTAGAATAGAGAAAGAGAGGGAGAGACGCAGGAAGAAAAACAAAGAACAAGAGAGTGAGTGAAGATTTCTGCAAGGACGTGCTAGCATTTGGGGATCATTTAGGTACATAAAAATACTTCTTTCTATTAGATTTCTTTTATGAATATTTTATATATATTTAGAACTTTATATTAGTATATTTACAATGTTTAGAGAAAATTTTGTGAGCTGGGTACAGAGTAAGTAATGATTTTTGACAATATATGACTGTAGAAATTTAGAGATATAAGTAGTTAATTTTAACCGGTTTAGATTTGTCTATTTATTATCTATGGTATTTAAAATTAAATTTATTTGTTGAAAAATCTGTCATTTATGATATATATCATATTTATACCGATTAAAAATAGGTTAAATAATTTATTTGGGTTGTTCGATATATTATTAAAATTTTAATCGGTTTATATTTGTTTATTGATTGTTTTGAGAATTTTAAACTAAGATTTTAGTTGAAAAATGTATTATTCAAGATATATAGAATGTTTTTACCGATTAAATTTAAGTTAAATAACTTATTTGGGTTACTTAATATATTATTGATATTTTAATCGGTTTAAAATGTAAAATAGGTTAAGACTATATTATTAGAAAAATTTTGAAGCTGGAAACTTAAGTTATAAATTGAGATTCTTACAATATTAGATAAAAACCATATTTTATAAATATTTATAATTTAAATTAGTTATTTGGGTAGAGAAAAATTGTTATTTGAAGTAAGAATTTTTGGATAGTAATATATGTATAATATATTAATAATAAATTCTATGTAATTTAAGTTAATTATTTGTATGTATATTAAATTGTATCTATATTATTTGTAGATTATCTTGTACTTCGGAGTTTGTAATTTGCGCTCTTATTTCTCAAGCTGTGAGGTTAAGCTTGGAGTAGAGGTAACCGGGTTAATTTATTTTATATACACGCTTTGGATTGTAAGGTGTTTATTATGTTTTTATTTTCCTAGTTAATTTGTAAAAGTATGCCTGTGAATAAAATATATATTTTATTATATGACAAATTTTGGTGAAGTGGGAAGTATGTTGATCTAATTATGTTTGAGTTGTGTTTTATTGGAAATTGTGTTTTCGTGTAGTACTGAATTTAATATACTAATATTATGTTATTAAATGAAATGAAAATGTGTTATACTTTGTTTGAAATTATATCATCTTACTTTGAAGATTGTGATATTTTGATTTATATTGTGACTATGCATGGGGTTCATATGTGGAGGATGGGATTTTGTTATGTGGAGGATAATTGTTCTTGAAGCCCGCGCGGCATGCCTACACTACGGATCCCAGTGTTTGGCCTTATTGTTAGACCCCTGTAGTTCTTCCTTTTCCTTGGCCCGGAATTGAGAATGAACTCTTGGGTAGACACCTCTTGCACCATAGTCCATTCTTGGGCGGTGTAGGTACAGGAGGGGGCCCGTTGCTTGATGTGAGTGGGGTGACCTTTGGCCGGGTTACTCAGCACAGAAAGCCCGGGTCCTTGTCAAGGAGTCATAAGGAGGAGCAAGGTGATGGGAGGGCATATTTCATTGTGTTGTTGCATATATGTACTTTTATATGAATTGTGTTGTGGATGGAGAGATATACTCTTTTTATGTGATTATATCTATTAAAGTACCATTTATTTCTTAAACTATATTTAAGCACTACTTCACCAACTTGCCATCCTACTTGTATATGTCATAAATTAATACTTGGTTACTGGGACTTTACGTCTCACCCCGCTATTCATCAATACTTTTCAGGAGAGCCATCTAGTTTGGCTCGGCGTGAAGGGAAGCAACCAGAGGCATAGGCGAGCATAGCCTAGTAGTCCTCTTTTGGTTTAGGCATGTAATGTTATGTATATTGCCATCTTAGGGCCCACAACTGTGTTGACATATACTTTCTTTTGTTTGGATGACTGTATTTGATGGAATGCTGTTAAAATGGCTGAAGGCCATAAGACTCTGCTGTATGTGATACTCTTATGTGTATGCCTTATGGGCTGGGTTGAGCAACCTATGTTTCTTGTGCCCTAAGTCTTTGTGGGATGAATATTATGTTGGGCTTGTGGGCGGTTACTGTGCCATGAGGCTTTGTTCTACGTTGTTAAATCCATGGGTGTTTTATGTATCCTGAGCTACTTGGGACGTTTTCGAAATAAGTCAAACTCTTTATAACCATGGTAGTATTTTAACACTCTAACTCAATTCTTTTTCTACCATGGTTATCATTTTAAAAATAGTTTTATAATTATGTATTAAGAAGAGGTCTTTTCACATATCGTACACAAGCTTGGGTGATTCTTCTTTACATGGTAGTACGTCCTCTTCACAAGTTAATGGCAACACTAGATTCTGGAAACTGGCAGCCAGACACACACCTATTAATTGCTCGGTATGTATTCCTCAGTACTTAATATACGAATTAATTAATTAATTTGAATAAATTAAATATGTTAGTTAAATTAGTTATATCATATGTTTTTTTCAAATATTATAAGCATCTTTTTAATTTCCTCACTCCTTCTCTTATCTGATTATTATTGAGGAAATATCAATAGGGCTATTTTGAAAAAAAATTAATAATATATAAAATAGGTCTTACATATAAAACTAAAATTAACTTTATAATTAGATCTTACATTAACGACCGGAGGACATACAAGTCATCTTTTATGATTTTCAGCATACAAGTCATCTTTTACGATTTGAGCATAGCTCAAGAGGTGTTTGAAAGCACCCAAAAGTGCTTCTCAGAAGGTTTTTTTTTGTAAAACGAGATAAACTCCTCCACATATTTACTTTGTATATTGTAAAAGCATTTTTAAAATCATGATTAGTTTCTATCCAATTACCCTGAGTGAAAGTACTTCCATCCATTGTGCTATGTTTTTTTTGTCCCTTCTGGCAGTTAAAGGGATCGTACATCACTAATCTGCTTGCTGTAATTTAACTTAGTTGTAATTCGATTCATACATTTTAATTCAGTATAACTTAGTCCCTATTATTTTGATTTGGCTAAAATTTAGTTTCTTAACTTTAAATCGGTGAATTCAGTTCTTGTAGTTTTAATTTTTTAAAATATTAGTCTACTGTTTTTAAAAAAATTATAAGGAACAGATTTATTTTTCAAAACGCAGGGTTTATTGTTTTTTAAATGACTAAAATATAAATATTGAGTTATATTTAAAAAACAAGAAAAGATTGATTTTCTCATTTTCAAACTTATCGTTTCACCAAGCCTTTATCACTCCAACGGCGCACAATAGAGATGCGCATGAAATCCTGCATTGTTCTCCACTGTTTCAGTTCTCTCAAATGTATGCCTACGAAGGCTTATACATTTATACCTCTCAGGCTCTCACGATCACAATTGTTTGTGGTTTGCTTCTTGCACATTATAGATTGAATTGAGAGGGTTTTGTGTTGTTTGTCTCCAGCAATTACAAGAGCAGGAGTTTCACACATATGGGCATATATTGTTATTTCACTTCTGGACTTGGGCTCAGGCCCACAATCCCATCACGGTCATATACTAACACATACGGGGTCAGTTAACAAGAGCATTGTATGCCCAAAAAAACAAACCAAGAGGATACCAACGTTGTACAAAAGGGGTTAAAAAAGAACAAGAAGAGGATACCTAAGGGATTAGTTATTTCTACGGAGAGGTTCAACCGGGAAAAAAAAAAGAAGAGGATACTAAGGGATGTGTTTAATAAAAGAGGTTAATTGCTCACAACGTGACAAATTAAGGTTCGAATTCACGTTAAAAGAAATATAACATTATCTCTAATAGGGAGATACTTGTGCCTTGTGAAGAAAAAATCTTTGCCTTCAAAAAACAAGAGCATCTAATGTTTTGCCAAAAAGAAAGAAAAAGAGCATACGGTAAAAAGGATTGGTAATAAAAAGCTTTTTAATTCTTTCAAATAAAATTTTTTTTGCCTGAATAAAATGAGAAGTTAAAGAGAAATAAACCTTCAAATTATTTAATAGTCAAATCAAAAAGGAAAAAAATGAAATTTTTGGCACTCAAAGTTTTACCTTTGGATTTTAAAATATTAAATAAATGGTACTCATACTTTGATTATTATACACATATATTAAATAAAATTTTAATGAATATGCAATGCTCTTTTGTCGATCATTACTTATTAGAGAATATTACTCTTGACATCAAATTTATTTAATATTTCAAAACCCTTCATTACAAGTTTTTTAGAATGGTAAAATTATCTTTAGCCCTTTAACTTTAAAAATATTTAATTATAATGCCTTACTCTTACTTTTTAAGTTTTTTAAATGCAACGCCATTAACAAAAAAAAAAGTATCACATTAAAATTTTAAATGTTGAAAGAATATTATTAAATGCTAATATATTAAGTTTAATTTTAAAAATAACAATGGTTTATATAAAAAAATAATAATTACAGATTGAAAATGTTAGGATTAAATGAATAAAACATAATTTTTAAAATTAAAGGATGAAATTGAAACCATATTAGCAAATTTAAATATATCTAAAACATAACTGCTGTGTATTTAACCTCTTAAGATTCTAGAGGCCGAGTTCATGCTAAATGAAACGTAAGGATAAATTGTAAATGGGGTGTTTTCCCAATAAAATAAAAGGTCGTACCACTCATTTATTATCAATCACACAATTGAAGAAAATTTTAAAAAAAAATTACATTATCTTATTATGAAACTGCATTCAGGCCTTGGTTGAAGAACATGGTGAAAGAATCCATTTTCTTATGAGGCAGGGCTAACCCTATCTCTATCCCACCATCAACTTCTCTGCTGTTAATAAGTGAAATGGCTCTGCTCTTATCAATGGAGATTTCCTCTATCTTCCTTGGCCTCCCCCATCCAAAATCCGTCTCATAAAGCTTCAATTTTGGAGACCATGTTGCAACCACATGGAGCTCCGACCCGTTCATCACCTCCCAATACGATACCCATTTCTCTGCCCCCACTAGCATCCCATGATCCAGCTTCTTAATTGTGCCTCCAATGGCTCTCGCTGCAACAACAATCCCACCTTCTCCAAGTAACTCCTCCCTCATCGCTGATGCACGGCCGAACCCCACGCAATTCCCAAGGTAATTTGCCGGCACCGGAAATTGCAGCCGGGTCATCCCGCCGGCGATAAACCCAAAATAAGCCGGATCCTTGTAATGGACATCTTCATCATTGTCAGTAAGTTGATGAGTTTTGAGCAAACAGACCCATAGAAAAGCGCAAGTTAAGACGTAAGGAGATAGGTGCTCAGGCTGGGACTTGTCTCTGCATAATGAAACAATGAAGCGTTTGATCTTCTCCATTTGAGTAGGATCCATCAAGAACGTGGCGCGAACCAGGTCGCTCAATGAAGAAGATGACGACTTGACCTTTGTTTCGTCGATGAAAGACGTTTTCTTGCGACGCCATTGCTTCAAGAAAACCTCTTCAAGCCCATGAGAATCCACAATCACACTTCGATCATAAAAGGGTAGAGATTTGGGTGGAAACGATGAAGCTTGAGAGGAGCAATACGCAGCCCAGGTGTTCATGAAATTGTGGAAGGTCCTTCCATCAGCGACAATATGCAGATAAGCGAGTCCAATGCAAATACCAGAATCTGGGAAAACAGTAATCTGAATTGCCATCAAAGGAATCTCCTCCTTTCCAGATTTCAGCTTCGGAACAAGTGAGTAGAAGCGATTGGCATCTCTGGCATGGTTGCCACATAAATGGCTAAAGTCGTCGGAGGATTCAGCGACCACCAGAGAGACTGAGCTTGCTTCGGAGTAAACAATGTGGGGTTTGGAAGGTTCCGGGGAGGGAACGAAGGTTCCGGCGAAGGGGAAGTAATGTTGGAGGGTGAGGGAGAGGGAGAGCTTGAGGTTAGGGAGAGTGAAGGTGGTGAAGTGAGAGAGAGAGAAAGGGAAGGGGAAGAAGAAGAGAGGTTGGTTCGGGGAGAAGAAGAGCCATGGAAGGTCGAGGAAGGTGAGTGGAAGAGAGGTGGGTGAGGTTGAATGTGGAGGAGCAGAGACTCGGCTCTGCTCCATAATCTTCACTCTGAGACCTTCGCACATGATTGTCACCCGAGGGAGGAAGCCCAAGAGGAAGAAGACGATAACAGGATGGCGGACAGCCTATTTCAGTATCAATGAAATTTGAAATCTAAACCATACAAAAATTAGATTTAGGGTGTGTTTGGATGAAATCAAACCGTGATTTGAAAAAGTGATTCTGGAGAATAGATTCTGTGGAGAATAGATTCTGAGAAAAAGTGATTATGAGAAGTGAGGGTGTTTGGATAGTTATTACCAGAAGCACTTTTTACATGTGAAAATTACCAAAAAGGGTATAAGTTAATATGATATTTATATAAGGGATAGATTTTATGATATATCTTGATTGAAGAAATAAATTGTTAATGAAAATTTTTTTACTAACATAATTAATAATATATAGGATAATATAATTAATACATAATTAATATGTGTATATATATTATAAAACATAATATTAAATATGTTTATAGAAAAATGATTTTTTTTTTTGCTAACAAAAAAAAAATATTATTTTCTTTACAGATTTTAAACATGAAATCCCATAACATTTTTTCACAACTACTTTTTGTAATAACATACTACATGTATAATAACCTCTGATGTTTAATACAATTAATTAATTAATTTTCACACCACATATATATATATATTCATAAAATATAAGAGTAAAAATATTTTTAGAGAAGATGAATTATTTTGTTGCAAACAGAAAATCATGTATTTTTCATGAAGATTATAAACATAAAATGGGATGATATTGTTTGATAAAATAGAATAAACACGTCTTAAAACAATTTATTAATTATTAAAGTAAGTAATAATTAGCTTGAGAATATAAGGTATAATATTAATAAAAGAAATATAAATAAACAAGTTTCATAATAATTAAGATGATGCATCGATACAAAGCATTTGTAATAGGTTTTGTTTTTAACTACATATTACAATCTATGATAAAAGGAAATAAATAAGACATGACTACTATCCTTGTATTGAATTAACAAGTTCGTCTCTTATGCTGTCACGAACCTGAGCCATGTAAGATGAAGATTGAATTGATGAATGTATACATGAAAATCCAACCCCATCATCATCTTCTTCTGCATAAGTACCTTCTTCTTCTAACTGAACGAATCCAGGATCAGTAATAGATGTCGTTCTAATAAAATTATGTATAGCCATCGTTGCACAAACGATTTTAACTTGTGTTTCATAATCATAGGATGACATGTTTTGTAAGATTGCAAACTTTTTTTTCCAAACTCCGAAAGTTCTTTCAATTGTACTCCTTAAACTTGAATGGAAATAATTAAAGACCTCATTGTCATTTTCAAACCCAGATGTCCTTCGAAAATCAGGCAGATGGTAACGCTCCGTCTGCATGGGCCGAGATATCCATTTGGTGTTGGGTATCCAGCATCCACCAAATAATATTTTCCTATATAAAAAATGAAATTATTGTAAATTTATGTTTCTATTGTTAAGCTAAATATAAATAAAATGTAGGAAATAAAAAAATACCTTCAGGTGGATGGGGAAAGTTCATGAAGGAGTTGTGAGGGCATGATCAAATATCCGAGCATCATGTGCGCTACCTTCCCATCCGGCGAAGACAAAAGTAAAACACATATCCCAATCACAAACTGCCATGACATTTTGTGACACTGTTTCTTTTCTAGAGATAATTTTAGTTTGATCTGTTGCACTGACAACGCAGGAAACATGTGTGCCATCAATTGCTCCAATAGCATGTTTAAAAAAAGGCCAGTATTTACCAAACCGAATTTTTGTATGAACATGCCGGAATGTTGGATCTTTTGGTTTGATATTAGACATGGCAAGTCTACAGCATGCCATTAGGACATTATGAAAATGTCTGCTAATTGTCTCCCCTGAATGTTGAAATCTTTCTTGTTGCATTCTGCTATTAAGTACATGGCCAACGGTATGTAAAAACATTGCAACTGATTCATGTATCCCTATATTTTTAGTTTCTTTTAGACCATGTTGTTGCAATTGTTCCACTAGACTTAAGAACACATCCCGTTCCATCCTAAACATGTTATAACAACGACTGGAGTTGCCATCTAAAACATCCCTTACCCATAAGCAGCCTGTATAAGCACTTGTATGTCGAGGCTCTTTACACAAGTTCAAAGTAGCGTATGCACCGACCAATGCTGCAACTTTGTTAACCCTTTTTTTTCGTCCCTTAGCATGCTCTTCCACACATTTAATTTCAGCATCCATATTCGTTTTATCCTGTGCACATACACATAAAATTTAGAATTCTTACGTAGAAATTACGAAACATTTATAAAAGTTACAGAGTTGTTTGATTCATATAACAACCCACTAGTAACATAAAACGATACACATATGGAACTGTCTAATATAATAAACAAGTCATAAATCCCTAGTGTAATACTCCAAAATAGGCAGAAGTTGTTCCTTCTGATCCTTCAGAGCTGCATACATTTCCCGTGCCTCCGGCCGTTCCATAAGGAGTTGTGTGCACCGTCTAAAGAAATCAGGATCACTGACAACTTCAGGAACTGATTTCAGGTGAGACAGGACTCCCCTAATTGAAATCTCATAAGCACGCGCTTCTTCTTCCAACCTTCTAGCTTCTTCTTCCAACCTTCTAGCTTCCACTCATGAAATGACCTCATTTCCACGTTCGGCCTCAGAAATATTTGTTTCAGCAATCTTGCTAAGTGCATCCGCTATTTTCATAGAGGGAGATATGTGTTTCTTCTTGACTTCACTCTTTCTTCTGACCCCCAGTGAGCTACTAGGTCGACTCCTACCTCTGCTTGTACCCCCACCACTGTTATCCTGCCTCAATTCAGTGTTGCCTCCACTACCTCCACTATTATCATTGAAGTTCACTGTGTTAAATTCCCTACTTATACCAGTTGGTGCACCTAAAATTTCATCGCTATCTTCGGACCCTTCTTCCAAATCTTCATTCGGTGTTCCTTCACTTGGAAGTATCATGGAAGAAGGTGCCCATGCTTGTGGTCCAGTTGCAGCCATACTCTCGAACAGTTGAGTTAATTGATCCCTAAATTAAAGTCCTCTTTCTCTAAATTTTTTGTAGTTTGGAACTTCCTGCACATTAGACACCAATAATATCATAAAATATTCAAAAAAAAAAACAGTAAATATGCACAAAACATTAACAGGCAGAGAAAATGTAAGATCAAAAGGTTCAATAATTACCCTTATTTTCCTCTCCCACCAATCATCAGTTGCACTGATAGTATTCCTTTCAGTATCCCATCCCAATCCTATCTCGCGAAGCAGCCTATCCCATGTCTGCCACTCCTTTTGTAGGGAATCATATTTATTCTTAAATTGAGATTTTTCATACACTCTCCCAATGTTGGCAGTAAACTTATCACCAAGAATATCCCAAGCTTTCTTTGTTAAGCTAGTACTTTTTCTTTCCCCTTGTTGCACAAGTTCAATGCATAAGTCAAGAAACACTTTAGTGGTTCTTAGATCCCAGGAAGCTTTCACCGTATCCTTACCCATTATGCTATAGCACAATTACAGCTCTTCAGTCATCACAAGTTAATCAACCCAAAATCATATGAAATAACAAAAATCATATTGTCTACTGCAATAGGTGAAAAAATTGACCACATTTTAAATCTCAATTCCTTCCTACCAAACCATGCGTGACAAAAATTAACAAACACAAGAAAATTCTAATTTTACATGGCTAGAAAAAATACACCCCCTCCTTTCTAAACTTCATTATCTGTTTTTACTTCAAAATACTAAAACTTTTAAAACGTCCAAAATAACATGTTAATTAAATATACTTTTTTTTTCTTAACTATTGTAGAAAGACGATTGGAGGCCAAAATAATAAGAATAACCATATTTGAACTATCATGCACTATAAATCATCTTGTACTTAACCTTTGAATGATTGTGTATTACGAATATATTTGAAAAAAATTCGTTCAACTGTGTAATGAATACAAATGTTCATGATGAACGCAATAATATTATAAAGCACATTATTGTTTTTAAAAAATAACATGTTGCACAAGCCTTTCATAATATTTTTTAAAAATTATATCCTTATCAGATTTGTCAACCGAAAATAAAAAAAACTAGCAACATAAACCTCTGACCAAAATACAAATCACTTCCTTCAATATATATACATGGATTTCAGTTGTGATTTCATTTTTCCTCACTCTCAAAAGTTGGCCATAAATTTATCAAAATCCTTAATACAACAGTACAGGACAACACAATTCTTATCTCATCCCAAATCAGATCAACTCTTAACAAATAATATTAATGAATTTACTTAATCACAAGTACTATCCACGGCAAAAAAAAAAACCAAAGTCTCGACTTCACAGGCTTCTTCTCCGGGGGAAATCTGGACAGAAAAAAGGATCCCACGCCAAGCAACAACAGGAAAAACAACTTGCATTGAATTTATATAACCAGTAGAATTCAATTGCCAGACTTTCTCATCCATATACGTCCCCTGCCTCCAAAACCAGACATTGATTACCAGAATCTGTTCCCTCTTCGTTTCATAAAATCAGAAGCAATTTACCAAACTAAGCAATAATGATATCATTCCTTCGAACAACAAAAACCTGGTTGAGCAAGTTGAAAAATGGAACCGAGAGGAAGCTTGCAATTCGAAGAGGATATACAGCCAAATCATTCCAAATCAACATATCACAGTCAACATACTAATAGGCACGGTTCTAAAAAAATTCATATGACTTGCAACGGGATGACAGATCGAAGACAGAGGAGGGACCGAACCAGAACCATAAGCAGGAAGCTGATAGATCGATGAATGGAGGAAATACATGAGTGAACAAAATTTTTAATATCACCAGAGAGAGCTAACCTGAGTACAAGATCTGACCAACCGAACTAGACAAGCCGACCTCACCGAGCGAACTGAAGAACGAAGATTGGAGACAGAGGATGGATGGATCGGACTACCCAACGCTTGATCTGGTTTTGGCGAGCCGAGAAACACATGACCAGCCCCTGTTTTCGCGAGGCCAGGGCGATCTCACCGGTGTAGAATTTCAGAGCAGCGACGGCGAAGAGGCGAGCTGGCGATGAAGAACGGGCAAAGACGCGACTTGATGATGAAGGGGCGAAGAGACGAGCTGATGATCAAGGGGCGAAGAGCCGAGCTTCAAGCTGAATGGAGAGAATAATCACTCTGATCGTTCATGAAGGAGTGTCGGCCAGCGAAGAAGAGAAGGAAGAGGGTGTTTTTGGAATGACTATTGCCACCTGATGAGTTGTTCCAAATTTTTTACTACAAGCGACAATTATTAGCTTCTGATAAAACCATGGTTTTATCTTAAACCACGGTTTGCAATTTTCAGCCTGTTTGGATGACATTTTAGGCAAACCATGATTTGAGCTTCCAAACCATGGTTTACAATGTCATCCAAACAGGCCCTAAATGAAACTAACGTTGAACACTTTCCATGGCTCGTACTTTTGAAATGAGCACAGGCTTGACCCCTCTGCTTCCCAGAGGCTGTGTGTGCTCGGGACGAAGCTCTGCAATCATCACTAGGGCTTCTCGCTCGCGCATTGTGTCTCCCTTTCTCCTTCTTCGTCGTCGCAACAATCTCTTGTGACCTTTTCTCTCCTTCGCCGTCTCTTCCATTTTTGACTCCAGGCAAGCCATTTTTCGGGCACTTTCCTGCTGTTCATTCCTTCCACTATTTCGCTGCATTCTGCGAAGGCCTTGTTTATTTTCTCGAAATTTCAGAGTTTTGTGAATGTTCCATTCCTGTGTGTTGCTCTATTTGTTCAATTTTAAATGAGTTTGAGTATCTTCACTGTCAGCTTAGAGGCTTTTCGTAGTATCCTCAGAAGACGTCCCCAGTTGGAAAAGCTGGTGGTCCTTGGAAGTCGATTTATTTGAAAGAGTGGTCTATACGAATATGGGCTTGCATGTTCGAATCTTTGTCTTGTTGATGATAGCTTTTACAGGAACCTTTTGTACTGGAGATACCGACTTACTTGACGGTACGGTACCTGCTCCTTCTTTGTCTTCTTTAGCCCATTTGGTCTTATTTTTGAAGCTGCTCCTTTATTATTATTTTTTCCTCAAAATTCATATTTAAGATAGAGTCATCATGGTGGCGGTAAAATTTTCAATGCTTTCTCGGACAGTCTGGAACTTTTACATGTGAATGAGCATAAACTTACTGGGAAATGTCACCTGGTTAAACATCATGGCATGTTCTTTTGTTTAACGCAGAATTTAATGAAAGTATCTTTTTTTTTAAATGATGTGCTATTGTTACAGTTGCAGCAATTAATAGTTTATATGTTGCTCTGGGCTCACCGCCTCTTCAAGGTTGGAAAACCACTGGGGGAGATCCGTGTGCAGAATTGTGGCAAGGCGTGGCTTGTGTCTTCTCCAACATAACTCAATTGTATGTTTACCGTATCGCCCTTAAATACCCGGTGGTTAATCTTATATTCTGTTTTTTTTTGTTTGTTTTGTTTTGTTTTGTTTTTTTGGGGACTAGCACAGGTATCCTTGCTTCTGTTGGATTTCAAATTATTGAGAAATTTGATTTATTATATAAAGTCTTTCATTTATGTTTCTACGTTGTTTGATTGATAGAATTGGCTCTAGACTTAATCATTGCATTTCCATTAACAGAAGTCTCAGAGGCATGAACTTGGGTGGAGAGCTGGGCAGTAATTTAAATTTTCCTTCCATCATTGAGATGTAAGTATCGATTTCCAAGATAACAGTACACGTACGTAATCAGCCTGTAGTTATTGATTCCACAATCCACGTTGTAGCATCTATTGTCTTTAGACTAACTAAATTCGTTAATCTAAGCTACAAATAATTTTGAATGAGCTTAAGTTGCCTTTAGCTGTGGCCTACTTGTTTGCCTCTGAAATACCAACAAATATGCGTGTCATGCTCCCATGAGTCCTAAGTCTCTGGTGATTGGAGGAGTCCTTCAGTTTTGACTCGATCCACAAGAGACAACTTTGCATGTTTATATTGTATTATAATAATACTGGGAATGCATATTGAACTTGGATGTTTTAAATGTCAACTTGTTTTGGGTCTGTACTATGTAGTGGCTGGATTGAGAATCTGACAGGTTTCAATCCATTGTCGCCACCAAAATGTGCAACAGGAGACGTAAGGAAGTGACAGAGGGCCAAAAAGGTGGGGCTAGTGGCACAATGAAGGACCCAAATGTTTATATGCCAAAAAATAGATGAGTGAGTGTGCAAAAGGAGGGAGTAATGATGGTAGGATGGAGCAATGAAAGAGTTGTTGAGTTGGATATTAATGGAGAGTAGTTGAGGAGGGAAAAAAGAAGAATTTTGGTCAGTTCTTAGTGGAGACGACCAACCTCTCAAAAGTTGGCTAACCTGTTATATTCTTGAGGTTCTGGTCCTGTATGGTTGAGTTTGGTGTGTATTTGTGTAGTTAGTATTTAAGTCCTTTTGTTCATCTTATTTGCTAGTCTTCTGAAAGTGTAATCCATATCTTCATTATATCTTTGTCATTTGTAACATCTGTGAAGTTTAATATTCTCTAGCAGACGTATATCATTGGCAACCCCAGGACCAATAGTTACGGGTTCATCAGCTTTATTATGTGTTTATATTAGAGTGCATAATTATAAATAAGAAAACATTTAAATATGATATAAATAGCATAAACAAGATTTAAATGATATTAGTAGAACTTAGATAGGATTTAATGATATTAGTAGGATTTGGATAGATTAGGATATCTAGAGAATGTTTAAATAATATTAGGATATCTATTTAGATTTATATTTATTAGGGCTTTTGCTTATAAATAAGTACCCACTATTCTTCGTAACTTAGTTTTGCAATGTGATGTGATTGAAGTTATCAGTTTCTCTTGATCTCCTCCGTTTCCCTAATTTCTCTTTCCTCATTCTCTCATCTATTTCTTTACTTTCCATAACATGGCCCAAGTTAGGGTATTTTAACTTGTAACTGAAAGTAACTACTCATTAGTACTGTTTCTTTCATTATCTTGTATAGCTCTTCTTTTTCATGAGTCTCTTTTTTCAATCTGTTTTGATAGAAATGGTCAGATCCCTAACAATATCTCATGACGCTTTATTTTCCATATTTTGCTAGAGATCTTAGCAACAACCACATCGGAGGACCTATTCCATCCACACTACCCCTTACTTTGAGGAACTTGTAAGCATCATTATCTTCTATTCCTTTGTATATTGACCATTTGGTTAGTTGTGTTGAGTGATTTTTTCCCTCTCTTCATTTGTCCGAATGTCTTAAAGTAAATTTTCATTCCTTTTTACCTTTAGGTCTCTTTCAAGTAACCAGTTAAATGGAAGTATTCCAGATGCCCTCTCCTCTCTAACACAATTGTCAGATTTGTGAGTTAATTCATTATCTTCTTCCCATAATGCAATATGGGCTTGTTATAATTCGTAATGAAAATAGCCTGTTCATTTTGATGGGCTTGTGTTCCTTCAATTAGGTCATTAAGTAATAACCTTCTAGATGGACAAATCCCTGATGTTTTTCAGCAGCTTACTGGCCTGATAAACATGTAAGAAAATGGTTTTAATTCACCTTAATATTTCTATCATTATTTTATCCTGCATTGACAGAAGTCATGTGATACTGCAGAGACCTGTCAGCTAACAAGTTGAGTGGTCAGCTACCCCTCTCACTGGGAAATTTGTCATTGCTTTCAACATTGTGAGTATACTTTCTCGTCAATTTTATAATCTAGTTGCCAACCTTTTAATGAGGAATTGAGGATTTTGTTTTAACGTTTTTTGCAGACATTTGCAGAACAATGAACTTTCTGGGTTTCTTAATGTTTTGCAAGACCTTCCTCTTCAGGATTTGTAAATTTCTTACTACCCCTATGCCATTTACAGACATTAATGAATAGAAATATAAATTTGTATACATATGTATAACTGAATATCTAAACCTGTTATAATGCATATAAAGCAAAGAAATGTTGAGCACCAATTTTTATTTTGTAGGAATATAGAGAACAATTTATTCTTTGGGCCAATTCCTCCACAATTGTTGAGTATCCCAAATCTCAGGTTAGCCTTTTTGTGCCCCCCCGCCCCACCCAAAAAAAAAAAGGTTTATTTTCTTAAAACTTTGGTTTGCATGAGAAAAATTATTATTATAGTATTATTCTTATAATAATTACAATATAAATTTAGTATTAAGATTCTTCTTTTATAGGTTTGCGCAGCATATTGTTTATTTCCTGCTTTCAAGCTAGTTCTAAGAGCATTCCCCCTGCAGAAAAGATGGAAATCCATTTAATACTACTGTCATCCGATCACCTCCAGCTGCAGCCCCAGGTCCTCTTGCTATGGTCCCATCACCTGCTGAAGCATCTTGGAATGTGGCAAATAGTCCATTTACCTTGGTTGCAGCGATACCTGCAAGTGCTAGGAAGTATTTTGTATCTAAGAATGTTATTTGGATTGTCATTGCTGGGTTCTTGGTGTTTATTGCACTAGGGGTCTGTCTTTTTATATTGTGGTGCTTTAAGAAAAGGCCGGAAAACAAAAATGCTCAAAAAAGTGATGTGGGTTTGGGCCCAGTGTCGTTGCATAAACATCAATACAGTGACCCTTTGGAGAAAGGTAACTATAACTAATCTCATGTGAGGCTTCTTTTTTTTTTTTTTTTTTTGTTTTTTTTGGGCTATTGTGAATTAACTTCTCTAACTCTCCTGGCAATTTCTCTTGAAGCATCTTTGAAACCAATAAGATCTCTTGGATATGGCGAACAAAATAGAAGAACAAATATGACTCCAGATGTTCAGAATGAACAGGAAATATATATGAACAGAGTATCAGCAAGTTCCAAACTTGCAACATTGCAGCCACCACCATCTAACCTTCCCATCAATCTTGGCGAAGAGGACCTAACCAAGCCAGTTATGCCTACCAAAGTTACTGAAAGACATGTTATGACTAGTTCATTGCATGTTTATACTATTGCATCGCTTCAGCAGTATACAAATAGTTTTTCCCAAGAAAATTATATTGGTGAAGGCACACTGGGTGTCATTTATCGGGCTGAGCTCCCTGATGGAAAGGTAAAAATCTTTTATTTTATATTTTGAATGATGCTCAGAGGGTGAGCCTGGGCAATGGTAAGGTTGTTGTCATGTGATTTGGAGGTCACGGGTTCAAACCTTAGAAATTGCCTCTTGTACGCTAAGGTTACGTACATCTATTCCTTCCCGGACCCCATCTGGTGGGAGCCTTGTGCACTAAACTGCCCCCTTTTTTTAAAAATATTGAATGATGCTCTAGTTTGAAATGAGTTATCGGCTGGTATCTTTGGTGCGTTATTGTTTTTGTTAATTTAGAATAAATTGGCTGAGCAATTGAATTCTTAACTTCAGGAATTTATTTGATGCTAGGGTCCATACATATAGGAATTGAAAATAACTGCAGAATTTTAAAAAAATCTAATCTAGATAAAACCAGACCTATCTTATAGAAACAAAATATTGAAATAATAAATTAATATTAAACTAACAACAAACTAATGGGCTCTTAATGGGCTTGGATTTTTTGGACATTATTCAACACTCCCCCTCAAGCTAGAGAATAGATATTCATCATTCCCAACTTGCTCGTGAAATCATCAAACTTTGCTATTGATAACGATTTGGTCAAGATGTCAGTAACTTATTGGCTAGAAGTAGTGTATGCTACCTCAACCCTCTTGTCTTCTATGTTTTCATTAAGGAAGTATCAGTCTATCTCAACATGCTTCATCTTGTCATAACGTACATGATTCTTTACAAGTTTGATAGTAGAGGTGTTATCATAGAACACCCTCCTTGGACCTTCTCGTGAAGCTTTAGCTCTTTAAAGAGTCTATCAAGCCATATCCCCTCACATTAGTGTAAGGGCCAATTAAGGTTAGCAGCTAGAGAGAGTAATACTTTGATTGTGTTAAACTTAGTAACTGGAGCAAATGTCTCCTGATAGTCTATTTCATATTGTTGAGTGTAACCTTTAGCAACTAACCTCGCCTTATACTCACCGAATTGTCCGAATTTCATTTCTTTATCAAACCCATCTGCATTCGATTGTTGTCTTTTAGGAAGTTCAATTAATTCCCAAGTGCTATTTTGATCAAGGCAGTCATTTCTTCATTAATAGCCTTTCTCCATTGAGGAATCTCCAATGCGTCATGTATATTTTTGGGAATATCATCACCAGAAGTTCTAGCAGTAAAAGCTCTCAAGGTAGGGGATAATTTCTCATAAGATATAAAATTACTAATAGGATGTTTAATAGTGCAAGATCTTACCTTTTTTCTTAATGTAATGGGCCAACTTAGGTTATCATGTACTGGATTTGAGGCTGGAGTGAATGATTGGTGTGAGGTACGTGTCTCCTCGTGTTGTTGTTTTAGCTCTATGCTAGTGTCTGGTTGAGCTTCTACATTATTCTAGTTGGTCTGAATTGTTTCCTTAGATTCAGTATTCATGTTTATCTCACTGTTGGAACCATTATCAATGGATTCTGGTTTAGATGATGAAGGATCAGGCTTAGCAAGAGGTTGGAAATAAGAGGTTTGGATATGAGAAGGCTTATGTTGTGACATAAGGTCAGAAAAAGGATCATAAAATGGATATTCAATCGTAGAACGCTTCCCCTAAATGGGCATTTTGGGAAAGTAAGGAAGTTTTTCATCAAAAGTAACATGGCTCCGATACCATGTTAATTTAGAATAAATCAGCTGAGCAATTGAATTCTCAATTTCAAGAATTTATTTGATGCTAGGTCCATACATATAGGAATAGAAAATTACTGTAAAATTTAAAAAATTTCAATCTAGATAAAATAAATCCAATCTAGATAAAACCAAATGTATTATTTAATTTTATATTCCTATCTTATAGAAACAAAATATTGAAATAATAAATTAATATTGAACTAATAGAAAACTAATGGGGCCACTTGGATTTTGTGGACATGATTCAACCTGCACTTAAGCTTTTTACTTAGTAACTGATCATCTTGTTTTTTTTTTTTTGGCCTGATAGTAACTGATCATCTTTGCTTCTGGCTATTTCATCTTCTCGTATTCAAGAGGGGTTTTGGTAAATAGACATGTTTATATTTGTTCATGTTTTTTGGTACCCCTTGTTTCATTTGGACATTATCATTTTCAATCTACTGATCAACAAACAAAAGGCCAAAATATGACAAATGATCCTTGGAGCCTGTTAATTCTAGAGAGAATTGTAAAATAATTTCTTGTATTATTCATGATCAGACTATGCATATATATATACAAGAGAGAGGAGCCTATGCATTAATGGCGGAAATAATATTATATCAAATCCTATACTGATTGCATAATATTTATATATCTTTTATATCTTTACATTCCCCCTCAAGTTGGAGCATAGATGTTAATCATGCCCAGCTTGTTATAAAGATAGTCAACCCGAGTCCCATTCAGAGCTTTAGTAAGCAGGTCGTCCAATTGTTCACTAGACCTCACATGCCCGGTAGAGATAAAGTTTTCTGAGCTTGTTTTGGACAAAGTGACAGTCAATCTCAATATGCTTTGTACGTTCATGAAACACAAAGTTGGAGGCTATATGTAGAGCGGTCTTATTATCACACCACAGTTTTGCGGGTAACGTAGGTTTGAGACTAGTTACTGTATCCAGACTACCTCACATACGGATTGTGCCATAACTCGGTATTTTGCCTCTGCACTTGACCTAGATACCACATTTTGTTTCTTGCTTCTCTAGGACACCAAATTTCCACCCTTAAGAACACAGTATTCTGTAGTAGACCGTCTCGTGGCTTTTGATCCACCATGATCTGCATCACAAAAAGACTCAATGTTTGTATAACCGTGATTTTTGTACAGTATACCATGACCTGGACATCCCTCCAGGTAATGTAAAATGTGCTCCAAGGCTTCTCATTGTCTGACAGTCGGAGATGCCATGAACTGGCTAAGCTCACTGACTGGATAATGATGTCTGGGCGAGTCACAGTGAGATAGCTCAACTTGCTAATCAATCTTTTGCATCTCTCGAGACTCTCAAATGGTTTACTCTTCTCAGCCTCAAGTTTTCTCTTATCATCAAGGGAATCCTCAAGTGGTATGCTCCCATCAGTATCAAGAAGTAGGTTATGGATCATAGGAAAGCTAGTTGGTACAGCTCCTTGTTTTCCAATTTCTTTTACCAAATCAAGGATGTACTTCTTTTTTGTCAGGAGTATGCCTTTCTTGTTTCTTATGACTGCAATGCCTAGAAAGTATTTCAAAGGGCCTAGATCCTTCGTTTGAAAGTGAGAATTAAGAAAGGACTTGAGGGACGTGATTCCCGAACTATGACTACCTATAATCACAATATCATCTACATGCCCTGCTAGAAGAATCATGCCAGCCTCTGTCTTTTGGTAAAACACAGAATGATCGCACTTGCTCTAGTTCAAGCCAAACTTTTGCACAATGGTACTAAACTTGTCAAACCATGCACGAGGACTCTATCAAACCATACAGGGATTTCTCAAGACGACATATTTTCCCACGCTCCTCCTGAGCAACAAAACCTGGTGGTTGCTCTATATAAACTTCTTCATGGAGATCACCATGCAAGAAAGCATTTTTAATATCTAACTAATGTAAATTGTGAGCTGTAATGAAAGGTGGGAGGAAACTGAAGCATGTGATGTTTTGTATACTAAATTGTTGCAGGAAGAGGTGGTGGATGTAGAGGAGCGGACTAAAATGAGGAGTAATGAGGCAACTTCTTTTAAAAAATTGATCTCGGTGAAAACAACAAAGAAGGGATCTGGAAGCAAAATTGATGAGAAAGAATTGATGATGGGGAAGCTGGGGATAAGGAGGAAAAGCCAAATGATGATTCAGAGCATGACAAGGCCAAAAAGTTGAATAACAATGTAACTCTGGAATGTGAGAAAGGGAAGGAAGTGCAGAAGGAAGATACGGAGTCCCCTAAAAGGAAAGATGATCTTTCTAAGGCAATTGTTGTCTATAACAATGCATCTCCTATTTCAGAAGTGGCTCTTAGGGTCAAAAGGATTAATTTGAAGAGAAATAGGATGGAGGAGATGGAAAATGCAAGTTTTAAAAGGAGAAAATTGATCTTTGCTGAGTATGGTGAAAAGAAAGATCAAGAAAGTGAAGGGAAATATATGCCTGGAGAAAGGAGGAGTGTGAGGGTTCTGAAAAGAAGATTAAGAAAGGAAGGGGGGATGAAGCATAAGTTCAAAAGTAATAAAGAAGTGGAACTAGTTGATATGAACTCTGTGGGAACTGACACAGTTGGGGCAGATGTGAGGGATGCTTTTGGAAGTAAAGCTGAAGGTGATGGTGGCTGGCCTCAAACAGCCACCATGGGGCCATGATTTTCTTAGTGTGGAACTGTCAAGGTTTGGGAAGGGCCTTGACAGTGAAAAAACTGAGGGAGGAAAATTTGAAGAAAAATCCCTCAGTCATCTTCCTAATGGAAACCAGAATGATGGAAGCAGGTATGAAAAGGATTAAGAAAAGATGTAGGATGGACGAAGATGTGTATGTTGAATCGGTAGGAAGGAGTGGTGGCCTAGCTCTTTAGTGGAGGAAGGATATAACAATAAATATTTGGCACTATTCAAAAAATATTATCCACACGAGTATGCACTCTACTGTGCATAAGGTGCTAAATTATGTTACTTTTGTTTATGGTGCGCCTAGAGTTGAAGAAAAATTAGAGGTTTGGAGGAAGATGAGGAGTATAGCGAGCAGAATCCGGGGTACGTGGTTGTGTATGGGGGACTTTAATGATACGGCCTCAGTATATGAAAAGATGGGGAGCAGACCGGTTGATACGAGAAGAATAATGAATTTCCAGAGTATGATGTCAGATTGTGCTCTAATGGATTTGAACTACTCTGGTGCTCGCTCTACTTGGTGCAACCAAAGACTGGGTGAAGCTCATGTGAAGGAGAGGATTGATAGAGCTATGGGGAATGTGGAATTTAGAGAGGTTTTTCAGTCAGCTCTGGTGTTGCATATAGAGCCTTTGGGTTCAGATCATCATATGCTTGCTATTGACTGTGAATATAAGCATGAAAGGGGCCAAAAAATGTTCAGGTTTGAAGCCATATGGTTAGAGCATGAGGATTATCTAACTACAGTTAAGGAGGGATGGATGCAGAATACTATGGGGGGAAGAAACAAGGTAGAGGAGCTGGTTTGTAGACTTGAGAACTGTAAAAGAATTCTTTCTGCTTGGGGGAAGAGACTTTGCCCGAATGCTCGAAGAACTGTAGAAAGATTGACTTCAAGACTGGAAGAGTGTAGAAGAGGGGATTATACTGTAGCCAAGAGAGAAGAAATGGAGGAACTAATTAGTCAAATCGAAGAGGCATGGAATAGGGAAGAACTATATTGGTGGCAAAGATCAAGGGTACAATGGCTGGATGCTGGAGACAGAAACACTAGGTTTTTCCACTCTAGTGTTGTTCAAAGACGAGCAAGAAACAAAGTTGTAAAGCTGAGAGGCGAAGGTGGGAGATGGATGGAAAGTGAAGAGGAGATTAATGATTCCTTTATTAGCTTTTATAAGAAGCTGTTTTCCTCAGATGGTTGCAGGAATCTGGAAGTGGTGTTAAGCTTTGTACAAAAGCTGGTTACAGTGGAAGATAATGCAGGACTTGAAAAGATAGTTACGAAAGAAGAAATCAAGCGAGCAGCCTTCCAATTGGGTGGAGCAAAAGCACCAGGCCCTGATGGCTTCTCTGGAATGTTCTATCATTCTGCTTGGTCAGTTATAGAGAAGGAGGTAACTGAAATGGTCTTTGATTTTTTCAATAATAATGTGAGTTTGGAAACTTTGAATAAAACAAATGTGGTGCTTATACCGAAAGTTGATAATGCTGAGAGCGTGGGACAGTTTAGGCCGATAGGCCTTTGCAATTTTGCTTACAAAATCATTTCTAAAATCTTAGCCAATAGAATGAAACCTGTGTTGGCTAGGATCATATCGCAAAATCAGAGAGCCTTTATAGAAGGAAGGTTGATTCAGGACAATATTATTATAGCTCACGAGGCATACCACTACCTGAAAAACAAGAAGAAAGGTAGGAAGTATGAAATGGCTGTGAAAGTAGATATGAATAAGGCTTATGGCAGATTGGAGTGGAGATTCATTGAAGAGGTTATGAGAAAGATGGGGTTCAGTGAGAAGTGGCTTAACTGGATTATGGAATGTGTGCAATTTGTGCAGCTGAATCTTGTAGTAGGAGGGAAGAAAATTGCAGAAATTGAGATGAAGAGAGGAATTTGTCAAGGAGATCCCTTATCCCTCTTCTTGTTTATAATTGCAGCAGATGCACTCTCCTTGATGATACAATGGCATGTGGAGAAGAGATTGCTGGAAGGGATAAAACTCGCGAAACACTGCCCCATTCTATCTCATTGTTTTTTCGCTGACGACTCACTCTTCTTTATTAATGCCAGAGGAAATAATTGCAAAAGGCTTATGGAGATTTTGAAGGTATATTCTCAAGCTTCTGGACAAACTATCAATCTAGATAAGTCTTGCATTTTCTTTTCTAAAAATACGGTTGATCGTGTGAAGCAAGAGGCCTTCGAGTTACTGGGAATAAAAGCTTTAGTTGATCCTGGTAGATATCTGGGTTTACCAGTGGTTTGGGGCAAATCAAAGTCAGAAGCCTTGAAGTTTGTGAAGAATAGGATGTGTTTGAAGGTGCAGGGGTGGAAGCAAAGTTGTTAACTTTCGCAGGAAGGGAGATTATGGTGAAGGTAGTGGCAAATTCAATTCCTGTATTTCCTATGTCCTGCTTTAAATTTCCTAAGAAGGTGTGTATGGAATTTGATAAGTTGGTGGCTGGTTTTTGGTGGGGATAGAAGGAGGAAGAGGGAAGGATACATTGGAAATCCTGGAATTATATGTGTAAAGAAAAGGGGAAGGGAGGAATGGGGTTCCGAGACTTCATGAAGTTTAATGACGCTTTACTGGCCAAAACCGCTTGGAGGCTTTGTTAGAATCAAGATGATTTGTGGAGCAAGATTCTGAAGGGTCTTTATTTCCATGATAAAGACTTTATGCATGCTGAGAAAGGAAATAAAGCTTCTTGGTGCTGGTCAAGCATCCTGGATGGTAGGCAACTATTGGGAGAGAAGTTGGTTTGGAGAATAAATAAAGGTGATAAAGTGAGCCTGTTTGAGGACAAATGGTTACCTGATGCTGATGGTTATAAGCTGAGGCAAAGGGTTTTGACTAATGAGATGAAGGAGATAAAGGTTGCTGATATTATTGTGGAGAGGAAATGGTGCTTTGACAAGGTGGATCAATGGCTGTCAAGTGAAGATAAGGAGCTTATGGGCAGAGTACGAATCCCTATAATTGAAGATGAAGATAGGTATGTATGGATAGGGTGTAGGGATGGCATTTACTCTGTGAAGATGGGTTATAAGGTAGCCAGAGAGGTGATGTCGGCTACTGTTAAGGAGGTCCCGGCTTGCTCTTATAAAGCAGGCGATGGAATGTGGAAGGCTCTCTGGAAGGTTAAGGCTCCTCCAAAAGTTATTCACTTTCTGTGGAGAGTTATCTGTGGTGCCTTAGCCACGAAATCAGCCTTGTACAAGAGAAAATGTGCTCCAAACCTTGCGTGTGGTGTTTGTAAGTTGCATGAGGAATCAGTAGAACATGCTCTCTTTCTTTGTCCATGGGCAAGAATGTGCTGGTTTGGTTCGCCGCTGGCTTTGATGTTTGATGAAAAAACTATGATCAAATTTGACTGCTGGTTTGAAGGTTGGGTTACCAGTAAATTTATGAATGATGAATTTAATGTAACTTTGTTTGCTTGTATCTGTTGGCAGATTTGGAAGATGAGGTGTAGCGCTGTGTTTGAAGAGAAGGAAGTAGATGCAGTAAGGTGTCTCAAAGTAGCAATCAAACTTAGTAATGAATTCTGGGGCTGCTTAAGGAAAAAAAATGGAAGACTTACTGATGTACAGAATATAGAAAGAGGCTTGTTTTGGCAGAAACCAGACCAAGGTACGGTGAAAATTAACGTTGATGGTGCCTTTAATGTAAAAGATGGATCTGCTGGTATAGGGGTGATTGGTAGAGATAGCGAAGGAAGATTTTTGGGGGGTGTGGGCTTAAAGATTGAAGCTCAATCCTCTTTTACGGCAGAATGCAAGGCTTTATTAGAAGCTTTAAGAATCAAGGATTTATTCGGAGGGGGTAAAATGATTCTGGAAACTGACTGTTTGGATTTGTACAGGCGCATAAAAAATTGTGATGTGAAGGGTTGTGATTGGAGGTGTACCGATTTGTTGTTGAAGTGCTTGGAGCTGGGAAGGATAGAGGGCAACTGGGATTTGTCTTTGGTGTCACGTGAAGGCAATAATGCTGCTGACAAAATTGCAGCTTGGGTAATGAGAGGTGTGGTTCCGCAAGGATGGATTGACAATCCACCACCCTCTCTAAAGTTTGTTCTATTGCACGACCTAGACAGCTTTGGTGGTACTTCTGTGAAGAGAGAAGGTATTGGTTGACTTCCCTTTTTTGGTCTTCTTTGTCTTTCTTTAGGTTGTATTCTAGGCTTACTTTTTCTTTTTGTTTAGGTTGTACTGTTAGGCTTTATTTTTTTTCTTTACAGGGGATTGGTGTTTGTATTTCCTTTGATTTGGTAATAAAATGGACTCTGTTTTGCTAAAAAAAAAAAATATCTAACTAATGTAGGTCCCAACCATAATTAGCTGTTATAGAAATAAATAGACAGACAGAGGAGAGCTTGGCCACAGGGGAGAAAGTTTCTAAGTAGTCAATGCTATAGGTTTGAGCATAGCCTTTAGCCACAAGACGAGCCTAGAGGACGAGGGAACAAAAACTACACCAGGAGCTTAAGAACAGAGTGAATGTACTATAAATAAGGAGCAAATAGAGAGAGCCAAGTTACCAAACGTTGCTTCCAAACCTTGAAACCTTCACAAACAAGCCGGAAAGATGTAGCTGACCTCAGAAAAGTGGAACGCCGTCGAGAACCTCGTCGGAGATAGAGACCAAAACAGAGGCAGTGACCGGAAAATAATAGTCTAAAGGGAGTGTTTTGATACCATGTTAATTCCAGAGAGAATTGTGAAATAATTCCTTGTATCATTTAGGATCAGACCATGCATATATATACAAGAGAGAGGAGCCTATGCATTAATGGCTCATTATGAGGAAATAATATCATATCAAATCCTATACTAATTGCATAATAATATCATATCAAATCCTATACTAATTGCATAATATTTACATATCTATTCATATCTTCATAGAGCCCTATGCCCCTTCCTCTACTCCTCTCAGACTTGTGTACATTAATTATCTTATCAATTTGTGCAGTCTAAAAAATTATAAGCTTTATGATTATTATTTTCCAAACATTGTTAAATGAGCATTTTCCCTGCTTGCTTGACATATTATTTTTCTCCTTGTTTCACATTCTTAATTGGCTGAGGCTCTAAGTCTTCTAAATGTTCTTTGCAGCAACTTGTAGTGAGAAAACTGGATGCTACTTCTATAGGACATGAACAGTTTCTTCAATTAGTGTCCAATATTTCCAAAATTCAACATGCTAACATTGTGAAGCTTATGGGCTACTGTGCTGAGAATGGTCAACAACTTCTTGTGTATAATTACTTGAGCATTGGAACTCTTCATGATGCACTACATGAAGATAATGAACTCCATGCTAAACTGTCATGGAATGCACGCATTCAGGTGGCACTTGGAGCTGCAAGGGCTTTAGAGTGAGTTTAGCGACCTCCTTTGAAAAAGTTTTGCTAATTTCTATTAACCACTGGAACTCTGTAAACCTTTTCTTACCTTGGAAGTTTGAAACATATCTTCTGCATCTTTCACTAATGACCAAGGCCTAATGACATGACTTGAAAGTTGTGTTTTTTCAGTGAAACTTTGGTTCTCAATCCAATATAGTAGTCATGTTTCAGACTCAACATTAGGCTGGGCATTCATGATTTTCTGGACAACCTTGAATTGATGAAGTTCTTTTTTTTTTTGCCCCATGAATCAGGTATCTGCATGAGAGCTTCCAGCCACCTATTGTGCATCAAAATATAAAATCAAATAATGTTCTACTGAATACTGAGCTTGAAGTATTTGTCTCTGATTGTGGATTTGGTCCTTTACTATCTTCTGGATCTGCTGGTCAGGCATGGCTTTAAAAGCTTTCTTTCTTTCTTTTTTTTTTAAATTGTAAATTGTCAAATGATTTATAGTTGGGGTTTGTGAACGAAACATATGGTAAATGGATGCTTCCCAATGTTGTTGAACACTTTGGGAGTTTTTGGACATTATGGAATAGATGTGGAAGTAAAAAATCAGGGGATCAATTTTTTTTCTCTGGTCAAACTGTGAAATGACAGTTATGAAAATCAATGAGATGAATTTCAGCAAATTGCGTTCCACAGATTGGGGTTTTTGTACCAAAGAATCTTCATGTTGGGGATAAATTTCAAATATCCTCCCTATTGTACGGTTGTTATCTGCCTTTTCCCTACACGCGTGATACTCTGCCACTTTTCCTCCTGTTGTTATCTACCTTTTCGCTACTGCTTAAAGACCTTTAACTATTTCCCATTAGATTTCTTATTGAGTGAAACATTGATAGGACAAATGCCCTTGGGTATTTCGCTTTGCCCTTTTATGTTTTCCCCTATTCTAAACTTTGTTGCATTGATTTATGCTTTTTTTTTTTTTGTGGGGTTAAAATGGATTTATGCATTTAGCACTGTAAGAAAATTGCTCCTGATGGTAATCCTCTTAATAGCAGTTAACCACAAAAAAGTAATACATGTTCAAAATAGAGCTCATACAGGTTGGTCCACAGTGTGGCTATTTTGTATTAACCCTTTGATGTGTATATATGCTCTGAGATGTGCTCAAAGAATTAGGCCCACGGCATTTTATCCTAAACTTTTCCCTTTTGTTTTTATGGTTATTAGAACTTCCCTTATCTAGGTGCACATTAATGTTGCCAATGAGTTGGTTAATAATAATGTCATAGAAAAACTTTTGGCCTTAATGTAACACTGTTTATGCATTACTGGGATGATACTATTCAGAACAAGCTACTGAATATAATTTGCAAAAATTGCTGGCTTGTCCTCTACTTCTGTTAAATTTCTGGCTAACACTGTTGCGTCTACCCTCAGTTGTCAGGACGCCTCCTAACAGCGAATGGTTATGGTGCGTCAGAATTTGAGACTGGGAGTTATACAAAGCAGAGTGATGTCTTCAGTTTTGGAGTTGTAATGCTAGAACTCCTCACTGGACGAAAATCCTGTGACAGGTTAGTTGTCAGTTATTATGTACCTCTATTGTATCAATGTTGAACCCAGGCCGTTGTATACATATGTAAGGAAAAAGCCCAATATGTGATAGTGGGCTAGGTGCGTCGCTGAGGGTAATTGTGGGAAAGAGATTTAGGAGTTAGTTACGCAGGGTATTTGTTGTCAGGGAGGTCGTTGAGGGGGGATGAATATGGTTAGAGTGTTGTGAGGAGTGTGGTGCTCTCGAATGCACTAGGCTACAGGTTTCCTTCTGGGTGCTATCCATTACGTTATACCCTGTGGATTGTTACTTTTCTCAGTAAATAATACCGTTGTCGGAGTCATTTCCATCAAAGGTATCAGAGCGGTGACGACGGGGCATGGTTCATACTCGTACGATGGTTCATACTCGTACGATGGAAGATTGGAATCATTCGCCCCAGTAAGAGTCCTTTTTCAAGCCCGGTACTGCTAGTAAAAAAGAAGGATGGTAGTTGGCGTTTCTGTGTGGACTATAGGGCCTTAAATAAGATAACCATCCAGGATAAGTTTCCCATCCCAGCCATTGAAGAACTGCTAGATGAGCTAGGAGGAGCCCAGATATTTTCCAAATTGGACTTAAAATCCGGTTATCACCAGATTCGCATGAAGCAGGGGGAAGAGTTGAAGACAGCTTTCAGAACGCATGACGGCCATTATGAATTCCTGGTCATGCCCTTCGGTTTGAAAAATGCTCCCTCTACCTTCCAATCCTTAATGAATGACATTTTTAGACAATATTTGCGGAAGTTTGTCCTTGCTTTTTTTGATGACATCTTGGTTTATAGTAGTGACAGGACAACTCACTTGCAACACCTTAGAGTTGCTTTCCAGATCCTGCAGCAGCACTCCTTGGTGATCAATACGAAAAAATGCGCCTTTGCTCAGTCTTAGCTGGAGTATTTGGGTCACATTATATCCAGCAAGGGTGTCCACGCTGATCCCTCTAAGATTGATAGCATGTTGTCATGGCCTGTACCGACCACACTGAAGAGTTTACGGGGGTTTTTTGGGGCTCACCGGTTACTACTGACGCTTTGTTCGACATTATGGTAGTATAGCCGTGCCACTGACTGCCTTATTGAAGAAGAATGCGTTTAATGGACACCAGAGGCTCAGAATGCTTTTGACCGACTTAAATTAGCTATGACCACCACCCCTGTCCTATCCCTGCCTGATTTTTCTCAACCATTTGTGGTGGAAACAGATGCGTCCGGGACCGGGTTGGGAGCTGTTTTACTACAGGATGACCGGCCTCTGGCTTATTATAGCCACTCCTTATCCTCGCGGCACCGTCGATGTTCAGTTTATGAGCATGAGTTGATGGCCATGGTATTTGCAGTGAGAAAATGGCGGTATTATCTAGTGGGCCGTCCCTTTGTCATCCGCACCGATCAGAAAGCCCTCAAATTTTTATTGGATCAGCGTATCTTGGATGAATCTCAACAGAGTTGGGTTTCCAAATTACTGGGTTTTGATTTCCAAATTCAATATAAACCGGGTCCCACCAATGCTGTGTGCTGATGCACTATCACGCAAGGGAGATTCTTCGGAATTGCATTCTATCTCGGTTGTACAGTCAAGTGATTTTACCTCCTTGGACGATGAGGTTCTCCACGATTCTTCCCTCGCTGCCGTTATTCAATTGTTAGTCACTGGACAAGCTGCTCCTGCGGGTTATACACTCAAAGGTGGTCACCTGTTCTTTAATGGACGCTTGGTTCTTCCCAAATCTTCGACTCGCATTCCTTCGCTGGTGCAAGACTTCCACAACTCGCCAATTGGTGGTCACTCGGGATATTTACGAACATACAAGCGGTTGAAGCGACCCTTTTCTATTGGGATGGCATGCGTAGGGATATCCAAAAATATGTGGTGGCTTGTGAGGTGTGCCAACGTAATAAATATTCGGCCCTCAGTCCGGCAGGTCTGCTGCAACCACTCCCTATACCAGATAGAGTTTGGACAGACATATCTATGGACTTTATCTCAGGCCTTCCCAAATCACAGCGAGTGGATACCATACTGGTGGTAGTGGATCGTTTTACTAAGTACGCCCACTTTCTTCCCCTGCTCCATCCATACACAGCTCGGGATGTGGCTGATATATTTGTTAAGGAGATAGTGCGTTTATATGGCTCTCGCTCCATTGTGTCAGATCGGGACCAGCTTTTCCTGAGCAATTTTTGGAAGGAATATTCAGGCTGCCGGTACTTCATTAAAATTTAGCTCTAGTTATCACCCTCAAAGTGATGGCCAGACAGAGGTGGTTAATCGGAGTCTTGAGACTTACTTACGGTGCTTTTGTGCTAGTAAGCCATCGACCTGGTCTAACTGGATCTGTTGGGCTGAGTTTTGGTTCAATACCACTTATAACCGCTCTACTGGGATGTCAACGTTTTAAGGCATTTGTATGGACAGGACCCACCTATCCTATATCAGTTTCAAGAACCATCCTCCCGGTTGATGCGATCAATGAACAGATACGCACTAGGAATTCCATTTTAGCTGAGCTCAAGTCTAATCTGGAACGTTCACAGCAGTACATGAAGGTCCAAGCTGATAAAAAGCGCCGGGATCTACAATTAGTGTTGGAGATCAGGGGTTTGTGAAGCTACAACATAACGCCATAAAATCTCTAGCCCGACGACCTAACGAAAAATTAAGTCCACGATTTTATGGCCCCTTCTCCGTTTCTGGAAAGGATAGGAGCGACTGCTTATCGCCTGCAACTGCCGACAACTGCTCGATTACACCCTGTTTTCCTGTTTCTTGCCTCAAGAAATCTCTGGCAACCGGTATCCACTCACAAACCACTTCTGTCGGTCTGACTGCTGATATGGAGTACGAGTGTATCCAGGGCTGTTTGAAGCATCGCACTTTGACTAACGGCCAGATTGAACTCCTTATTCAGTGGGCAGATTTACCCTCTACAGAGAGTACTTGGGAAAATTATGATGTCATTAAACACCAGTTTCCTCAGTT